AACCCATGAAAAGTAATTCCTTGTGTCACTTCGAAACAACAAATTTTTATCTAAAAACCTATAATTAAAGGTAGCAAATCATTACAAATTTATTGTTTAAAAGTGTTTAAAAATACCATGTATAGTTTTCAATTTTTTTACAAATGAATTTTTTTTGTTATTTTTATATTTTTTTTAATTAAAAATACTCTAAAATTTTTTGGATATCGGCTAATTTACTTTCATTTTTTTAATATATTTTTTTGAATTAATATAATTATAAATTAAATCAAAAATTGGTCAGGTGACAGCTAACTTTAATGTAATTTAACCACTCGTGTCACGTCAGTATATTGGATCTATTAGTCAGACTTATGGTCAATCCAAAGAGTATGTAGGTAGTAGGTTTGGCCAAAGACATTTTTTAAATGAAATTAAATATAACTTAGAGTCATTACCATGTTCTTATCCAAAAACAAAAATTATCAACAATTAAAATATCGGACTATTATTATGAAGGTCACGTGAGTGCTAGAGAAACGACGATTGTGACTTTGTTGACAAATAAAATGTTTAATGAAATAGTACAGTAAAAATAGAATTTATCTTTGCACGAAATTTCCGATTCAATTTTTCATGAGGTTTAGGATCACTTATTCCGCATAAAATCACAAAATACTGACAGATCTGTCTTGAAAAACCGTTTTCAGCCGATATCTCGGTAACTATGCACTTTAAGGCAAAAGTTATACAAACCATTATTGTAGAAAATAAAATTTTACATCTTTTGTTTCCAGTAAACATTTTTGTTAAACTTACCGTTTACTATTTATGACCCATTTAATGAAAAGGTGGCGCTTCAAGCGCCATCTTGACACATATAATACACATAACACATAAACACTCACGCCTGTCACCCAGAGGGGTAGGCAGAGATTACAAACTTCCATTTGACACGATCCTGACATACCTCTTTCGCCTCCTTTACATCCATATATCTACGCATACATGCTCGTCGGTTAAGGATACTTTTAATGTGGCCCATTTTCAAAATATCGACAATTTGGTCGATAAACTTTTTCTAGGGCGTCCCTTCCCGACTCTGCCGTTCACATCTGCCATATAAATTTGCTTTGTCACTCTTTCCTCATTCATTCTTTCTACGTGACCAAACCACCGAAGCATTCTTTCCTAATCCTGGTCACAACATCATCTTGCGTACCACATTTATCTCTTATCACGAAATTTCTCACCCTGTCATTCAGATTCAACCCTAGCATACTCCTTAAAGACCGCATTTCTACAGCATTTATTCTACTTTCGTGCTTCTTCTGCCACACCCAGCTTTCACTACCATACATTAAAGTAGGGACTAACACAGCATTATGAATTACCATACGTGCCTTTTTTGATACAATCTGGTTCTTCACAATAGAGTGTAGTGCCCCATTCACTCTATTCCCTGCATTTACTCGTCGTTCTATATCCTTATCATATCTACCATCCTGCTAAATACACATCCCAAATACAAAAACTCATCCACTTGCTCAATTAACTCTTCTTCTATTCTTATTTCACATACCGTTTTGCTTTCCTCTCTTTTAAAAACCATCACTTTCGTCTTACTTGCGTTCACTTTCATTCCCCTTTCTTTTGAATCGCCATCTTGAAAAGATGTTTTTAGCCGATATCTCGGTAACTATGTACTTTAAGGCAAAAGTTATACAAGCCATTACTGTAGAAAATAAAATTTCGTAAACTTTTTGTAAAACTTACCGTTTACGATTTATGGGCCATTTAATGATCCGGTTTTTCTATCGCGGCCAATAACTCTTGAAATATTAAATTTATCAATAAAATGCGTAACTTTATTTTTAAAGATCAGTTTATTTTCCAAAATTTTTGTTTAAAACTTTTTTTCTAATGTATATGTCCATAATTTATGAGTTATAGGACGTTTCATGTTTGACTACCGGTCACGCCAAAATCAGTTATTGATTTTTTTCTGTCAAGAAATTCTCAGTAGCAACTTGAAGTCAGGATGTTGACAGTGTTTCACCCCTGTGCCTCGAAAAGGAAGTAAAGCCGTTGGTTCTGCAACTGATCTCTCTCCAGTCGTGCTGGATAACTGTCCAAACGAAATATGTGAGTAAGAGAATATAGAGTTTTCTTGTGCTTGCGCATACACTTGGGCACTATAATCCTATCGTGCGCAGATAGCTAGTCTCCACTGTGATTGTCTGCCGTAATTTTAATTACAAACTACGATGCACTCTTTTGTGTACTTCTTTGGAGAAGAAAAGTATCTGTGGCATTTGCTTAAATTTGCATTATGTTTTGAATATTCCATTTACAGGAGGATTTTCCCGATTAGGCAATCTATTGAGGGCAGTAATCAAAACATTTAAAAGTAGACTTTCGATAGGCTGTAATGAACGATGAATAAACAAAATATATGGGCTCGACATTACCAAAAAGAAAACAAATATTCTAAAATATAATGTTGCGAAGTAAACTCGTGTTAGCACTAATCCTTTTTTGTATTTTCTGCATACAAATCATAACTTTTATTTAATGAGGTTCTTAATGTGTTTTAGGTTTTGGGCAAGAACTACCTAGATGATTTTTTGTGCAATTTTAGACCTAGCATGTTCCAATAACAAGGTTTTCTTTGCAATTATGACTTTAAAAAAGGCCTTTGACGGGGTTGCTTTAAAGCTAACGCTGCCTTCGTTTGGGTTTTTTTAAGAGTAAGGGTGACAAACGAGCACACGTGGACTGTGTGCTCGTTTGTCACTGATGGGAAGTGCATGCTGTAGCCCATAGACGTCTACATTTATCTTCAATAACGAATCAAAATGAAGATGCGTTGCTAGCCCTGAGGAGTGAGATGGAATGCCTCATTTCCAGTAAAAAGAGTCTCCGGTTCTCTACTCTCACCATACGAAACACAGCAGCAATAAGTTGCTATTTTACGCTGGTTTTGAAGGTTGAACGAAGGGGTGATATTATACGTATTATAATCTCTTTATATCATATCTCTGAATAAAGAGGGCTTTCACATACTGTTTAAGAGGTTAATAAAAGTATTCATAATCGTAAATATGTTTTTGGACTATAGTTGTTTGGAAACTTTGAAAATCAAAGATTATGGGTTTAAAATGGGTGAACTAGCCGCTAAATTTCTCTTACTAGCCCACGATTGAGTCATATATGCGTCTTCGGTGAGCGAATTACTAATGCTGGCTACATTAGTGGACGTATCATTTAACATTAGGGGAATAAAAATAAAGCGCAAGACTACGTACCACGTACAGAATAGTAGGCAGAGACTACGGACTTCTATTTGGCACTACCCTATATATCTACGCATACATACTGGTCGGTTAAGGGTAACTTTCTTTTAGGGCATCCCTTCCCGACACTGTCGTTCACATCTGCCATATAAATTTGCGTTGTCACTCTTTCCGCATTCAATCTTTGTACATGACCAAACCACCGAAGCATTCCTTTCTTAATCCTAATCATCATCGGGAATAAAAGTGTAATAAAAGGAAAACGATACGTGAAACAAGAATAGAAAGAGAGTTGGTTGAGCAAGTATATGAGTCTGTGTATTTAAGGTGCGTGATTAGCGGGAATGGTGTATTTAACATTTGTGATAAGCAAGACTGTATCTTTGGTCTAACAGCCATTATAAAGCGACTGATAATATTGAGGCCAAAGTTTGAATCCTTTCATTTCGCTTACATTTCTCTTGCAGGAACGAAGCTGTCACTGTGAAAGAAATTTTCTCCGTCGTCATCATCGGTTGGTCGAACTATATTATGGTCAGTCCATTGCCACTTCATCTTACTGATCCGTTCGGCTATATTGGTTACTCTGGTTCTGCTACAGATAATATGATCTTCATTTATTCTATTATGCGAAGAAACTACGAAATTTGCCCTCTCCATAGCACACAGAGCGACTTCAAGCACCCTAATATGACCGGCAGTAAATTATTACTGAAATATATTTCCGTTCCATATGCCATAGCTGGCAACATGCACTATTAGTTAGTTGCACATGCACTGTTAGTTAGAATTACACTTGTTTTAAGGTTTTAAGGACTTTTTTAATGAATAATGCCAAGTGAGCAGCCTAGCGGTATTCGTCAATTGATTAGTATTGTCTTTTATAAATATATTTTGAAGTTCTATTAGGGCGCCGTCAGTATAAGACGTGTTAAATTTACCTCTGTATATTTTATCGGTTAAAACTACTAAACGTGATTATATATGTATTATGTGTAGTTCATTGAGTGGATAAGGACATAGACTATTAGTGATAATGTTATCTATTGATTCAAATAAAAACAAACAAAGAAAAACACAAAAATAAAACTTCAACAGTGAAAGGCAATATTAATTCTAATAAAACTCAAATAATGTGTTCAAAGTGTAATGTATACTATTTAAAATAAACAATTAGTTTTATAAGTGACAAAGTGAAAAAAAAGTGATACAAACCAACAAAAACGGAAAAAAAACAGCGTTCATCATCATTAAACAAAAAGAATGGACTTTGAACTACAGAACAATTTTTAAATCTGTTTTTTTATTTATTATAAACGAACAATCTATACCGCAATTTCACATGTTTTAGTAAAAGAACGGGTAGCGCGATGCATTAAGTGTTGACCACATAATTGACGAAGTGTGAGTTCGGATCCCACAAAATATCAATTACACTTTTTGTGATTTCTTCGTTTTTATAAATTTAAGAGGACATCAAAAATAATTAGTTCGCTTGCAAAGTGCTATACTCGTATAAACAACAACAAAATTAATTACAATTATTATACAAAACAGAACAGACTCAAAGAAACATGGATTTAGAAAACATAACATATCGAAAGCCTTACAGAACTAGTTCACTAAGTGACATGACTAACATCGAAGAATCTCGCCCTTTCGATACGACAATAATGAGTCTACCTGACACCTTACACAACAATAGTCAAACTTTACAAGACTTAAATGAAAAAAATTAAATCGTTAACAAACGATCTTCTAAGTGCTAATCAAGAGATTGAGAACCTTAATTCCGAAAATTTTCGTCTGAAAGTTGACCTCGATAAGTCCTTAAAAATAATAGACTCATACAAAAGAATAATCACATCTGACAGGAAAAGTATGACGCCTACACCAAGAGGCAAAAGAAAGTATTCACAAAATAAGATCTTTGAAAGTCCAGCACAAATAACAAACCCAGGAACAGATGGTCAAAGTATAAATAATTCCCCAATTCCCATAACAAATCGATCTTTAGATGAATTAGAACAAAATGCAATAAATAATGACAACTTTAATATTATGACAATACCATCTGAAAAACCCATTAACTTGCCTGCCTGTTGTACTACATTTTCAAATAAAATATTGCAAAAAGATATTCAACAAAAAAAAGAAATAAACTGTGATACTCCTCTTCTGTATGCAAGTAAAGAGCAAATAAATTCCCATGAAAAGGGTAATAAAGTATGGAAACGAAAAATTGTTATTGTAGCGGACGAACAAGGTTATAAAATAAGAGAAACACTGCAGAATTTTGTTGGTTGTGAGTTTATAGTAACTTGTTACTCAAAGTATGGAGCCCCTTTAAAAGAGGTGTTAGCGCCTGCAGAATCTGAGTTAAGCAAATTGAACAGCAACGATTTTGTAATAATACTTGGAGGAATTAATGATAAAAATCCTCGTGAACTATTGTTTTTCCTTAGACAATTTTTGAACAATGCGAGCAAACCCAATATTTTAGTATCAGAAGTACCACGTAGCAAATATCTTAATGAAAGAAAATTAAATTATGAAATTAAATTTATATGCTCTGAATTTAAGTATGTTAATTTTATTGAAATGAATTATTCTGTCATGATACCTAGGCGCAAATATTTTCCTCTATATACAAGCCAGTTACTTCTACAAGAAATATTACGTGTGGATTATAAATTAAAATATGAGATATACTGTAAAAGCTTAAAAGACATACCGGAACATAAGCAGACCTTTACTGAAAATAGTACCCAAACTGACATGTTTGTCGACCTTGTAAAATGTAATAACTTTTCTGACAGTAGCACCCAAACTGACATGGCAATTGAAACACCTTCTCAAATTAATTCTACCAACTTTTTTCTTGTATAACCAAATAAGTATACTTCATCAAAATATTAACGGCCTTATAAACAAGTGTGACTTATTAATTACATCTTTAGAATCTATAGAAAGTGTAAAAGATGTTAAAGTTTTATGCATTACCGAACACAATATGTCTAGTATTGATTTATATATCTTAAACATTCCAAATTATTCATTGGGTTCAGTGTTTAGTCGTAGAAATCGTCGCGGTGGATCTTGTATTCTGGTACATAACTCACAAAAGTTTATACCAATCAGTAACATAAAAAAATTGAAATTCGATTGAAGGTGTAATCAAATGTTCAAGAATACAATTACCTGAACATAAACTATATTTATTCTGCATTTACATACCCCCCAGGGTAAGTTCCGAAGGCATCAATAGGTTTTTGCAACATTTAATTCTTTATTAAAACAGTTTTGCCTTGGAAAAATAAAGTAATGCTCTGTGGCGATTTTAATATTAATACTCTGAAAAAAAGTAAGGAAACTATTGAGTTAAGTGAAATTCTATCTGCGTATAACCTGAAAATAGGAATAGAAGAGCCCACTAGATTGGTAAGTGGCACATGTATTGACAATTTCATGTATAATGTTCGTGACTATAAAACAAGAGTTTTGGAACTTGCGTTATCTGATCACACTGCACAAGTACTTACATGTCCAGTAAAAGTAAGTTGTCTGATCAAACATTGGTACATTAAAACGCGGGACTACTGTAAAGAGAATTTAGATAAATTTAAAGAATGCATTAACGCTCTAAGTTTCAATGATGTGTTTAGTAGTAATGATCCAAATACTTCGTTTAACATTTTTTATGATTTTTTCCGTCTTTTCTATAACTTATGTTTTCCTGTAAAATATATTAAAAAAGACACAAAAGTGAAGCCGAAATGGATAACGAAAGGTATAAAAAAGTGCTGTAAACGTAAACGTCAGCTTCTTTGGCAATATAGGAAAAACCGAACAGAAAATAATAAAAGAAGTTTTATAGACCTTTCATCAAGACCGAGTCGTGTTATCAAATTCACACAAAAGAACAAATTTCAAAACTCGTAACAAATGCAAAGCTACTTGGACTATAATTAATAATAGGACAATTAATTTACCAAATCAGGAAATAGAACAAATTACTACTAATAACACTACAATTAAGGATCCCATAAGCATAGCGAATAAATTTAATGAATATTGTATTAACCAAATCACCAAATTGGTCCCCCATAGAACACCAATTAATATTTCAAGTGAATCTAAATATTTATTCATGAAACCCGCAACACTGAATGAAATAAATAAAATTATTTTAAATTTAAAACCTACGAATAGTACGGGTTATGATGATATTTCAACCAAAGTATTAAAATATGTTTCTATCAAATTATCACATGTACTGAGTCATATTATCAATCAATGCATTTATCATGGCTTTTTTCCTGACAAATTAAAGTTAACCATAATCAAACCTATTTTTAAGAAAAACGACAGAAATGACATGAGCTGTTATAGACCAATAGCCATTAGTACCGGTTCTATCTAAAGTTTTTGAAAAAGTGATTCATGAAAGATTAAATAATTATTTCGAAACAAATAATTTATTTTCAAAAGAGCAGGTAGGTTTCAGAAAGAACAAAACTATAAATATGGCAGTTTTCTCATTTTTAAAGAGTGTTATGGTAAACATGGATAATAAAAATCATCAAATCATTATATGGACCTAACAAAGGCATTTGACTATGTTGACCACAATATATTGCTAGATAAGCTATTTGCCTATGGAGTCAGGGGAAATACGCATGATCTTATTAGGAGCTATCTTGGTAACAGAAAACAGTCTACACACATAACGAGATTGTGTCCTCACAAAAAAAATTATATGTGACTATGAATCAGCGTACAAAATCAATAACTTTGGTGTGCCACAAGGCAGTGTATTGGGTCCATTATTATTTATTATATACATAAATGATCTCCCGAAAGTAACAAGCAATGACACTATTTTATTTGCTGACGACAGTACAATTATATTTACAGGAAAAGAAAAAACACAAATAGAATTGGACATAAACAATACCTTAGATAATATTATTAAATGGTTGACTTTAAATAATTTTTAAAATAAATTTCGAAAAAACTAAATTAATGACGTTTCGAAACAGAGTTCACAAATTAACGGACATGAAAATCTACTGTACACAAAAAAAAAATTGAAGAAGTAGAGACAATAAAATTCTTGGGACTAAACATTGATTCTCAACTAAACTGGAAGTCACATACAGAGATGTTGTGTTCGAAACTTAATCAATACTCATATGCGATCTACATGTTGTCCAAAACTGCCAGTACATCCACAGTTTTAACCGCTTACCATGGACATGTTACTCCTCTTTTAATGTATGGTGTTATGTTTTGGGGCAACTCTGTGGGAAAAGAGTTGGTCTTTAGGGCGCAAAAAGAGATGCGTTCGGGCTATATACAGAATGAAACAAACCGAGAGCTGAAGGTCGATATTTCCAAAGATTAAAATATTGACACTACCCTGTATTTATATACTGGATATGGTACTATTTGTAAGAAATAATAGTAACTTATTTGTTAAATTAAAAAAGCAAGAGACACCCTTTCCAAATAAGCTTCATGTATAACAAAACTAAACTTTTAAACAGCAGTGTATTTTGTATGATTCCGAGAGTGTATAATCATTTACCCAACTCTCTGCTTGAAATTTCAAATAATAATTTATTTAAAAAAAAAGTGAAGACACTACTTTTAGAAAAATCATATTATTCGGTAAGGGAATTTCTTGAAGACAAATTAATAGATGCAGTATTGTAACCGGCTTAGTGGTACTGTGACATTAATTAGACATTTTATGTGACATTATTTTACAAAGTTGACATTGTGTATTAATTAGGTAATCTCATTTGACATTATTTTAATAATTATTTAGACACTATGATTTGATATGTAATAATTTTAATTTAATCTATAGCATAAAATTAAGAATTTTTGCATGGCATGAGCCTAAATATGGCGATCAACAATGTAAATTGACCACTGTAACACCATCTGTACCCATATTGCGCAAATAAAGAATTAATAAATAAAATAAATAAATAAATAAATATTTGTAAACAACTCGAGCACTTTGTTCTTACCGGCTTATGTACATATTTAATAGTTTTTGTTTTCTTTTTATTTTTGTCATTCTTAATTTTCATAAGTTCTTCAATATATTATTTCTTGTTTCCAAATGCTTTTCGAAACAACCTTACACGAAACTTACCATTCATTTATTTTCTTTGTAAATATTTTTGAATTAATTCACGTTCGACGTTACTCCTGAAACGAGTTTTGTGTTTGACCCTTTGGATATGTGCGAACGTGCGTTGATTTTACCTACTGTTTTTGCATAGATAAGGTACATAATTCTCTTTGTTTTGGCTTTTGCTCACAGACTGCTTAGAATTCTAAACGGAACACAGATATGTTTTATTTTAACATCTTTTAAGTATGTAAGTGTACAACAAAAAGGAGTTCCAATAGTAATATTATCCGAAAAATGACTTCTAAAAAATTTTCCTAAAGAAAGAAGTTTCTTAAAAGTGGGCGACGTTATTTCTTATAACAACGGCTTTGTTTTCTAAAACGAACTTCTATTTAAAATACTGGGCGTATAAAAAGTACAAAGTATATAATGACATATCAGCTCTTATCCTCGTAACTTTAGACAAACATGATAAATTTTCCTATTAATTACTATGGCTAATCAGGAAAGTTAAAAATAACAAAATATAATTTGTTTCTTTATAAAGATTTTATAATCATAATCATAATCATAATCATAATCATAATTTATTTGCAGAAAACATGGTACATTACAGGTTGGTAAATCATTTAAGTCCAGCATGTTTTGTCATAATATTGACATACAAATATTTATCTAAAACATTAATTACATTTTCACAACTAATAAATTAATAACATGTTTTCAAAATCATTATAATAATTTTATTACATTTAATTTAATTAAAATAATATGATAGTGGTTACATAATTCATTTTAATATCGATCCCTAATCCTTATCAAAAAATTTAAATATTCTTCAACAGAGTAGAAGCATTGCTCCTCAAGCCATTATTTGACTACCCCTGCGAAAACGTACCTTTGGGAGTGATTGAAACTTATAGGCAGTGCATTGAAAATTTTTATAACATAGCTGAACAATTTTTCCTATAGAGGCTAGTGCTTGGCATTACACTATGTGTCAATCTTTCAGTATGCCTCAAGTTTCTCCGTGCAGTATTTCTTAGCTTTGTGAATAAAAGTATATTATTTTTAACAAAACATACCAAATTTAGTATGTACATACATGGCAGCGTCAAAATGTGTAATTTTTTGAAATACGGTTTACACGATGAATCTGGTGCCAAACCATTCATAGCTCGAATACATTTCTTTTGGGCTGTAAAGGCTTTAAAAGCATCTGTACTGTTACCCCAAAGCAAAAGACCATAATCGAGTGCAGAATAAATGTATGCATAGTACGCCGTTAGTAATGTTTCATGAGATGTAATTCTTCTCAGTCTGCTAAGAAGAAAAATATAGCTATTTATTTTAGAACAAACTTTTTCAACTTGGGCTTTCCAGTTCACATGTTTGTCCAATAATATTCCCAGAAACTTTGTTTCAGTCATTTCATTAACAGATTGTCCATTGCAATATATATTTAGATTATTATTCAATGTTCCATAATTACTAAATTGAATATAACATGTCTTTTCTACGTTAATGCATAAATTATTATATGTCGCCCACTTTGAAATAGTATTATTAATATTAGATTCATAGATGTCAATGTCAATGTCTTTTTCAGATGTCACAATAACTGAAATATCATCAGCAAATAAAATACATTTGTATGAAGTTGAGTCAGGTAAGTCATTTATATATAAAAGGAAAAGAATTGGCCCTAATACGGAACCTTGTGGAACTCCAAATGAAT